GGCCCCCCCTTTCAAGCCAATTTTTTTCGAGTGGCCCCCCCCCAAATCCCACCAGCCCCCCCTCTCTCATAAAAAATGAACGGTCCCTTAGTCTATTCTAATAATTAGTTACATAAGATAAAACTGAAATTCCGTTTAAAATCTGACGAAATGTCAGCGGCAAAGGCCAGTCTTAAGTAAAAGAATTACAAAGAAGGAGATCTGAGTCTTCAAGTTTCCTTAACCCTGGATGGGTTTTAAGAATGGTTAAGGACTTTTTTGTTTTTCAGGGTCAAAAAGGAGAACGTGGTTCACCAGGAAACAACGCAGGAGGTGTAATTAAGTTTAGCGATACCGCTGAGAAATGTACCGCAAGCATCGCCGGCACTGTAAGCTACAATAGTTCCCAGAAATCCTTGCAACTCTGTGATGGAAGTGTTTGGCTTCCAGTGCTGACTGTTGGAAAAGGTTACACGAAGGATAGACCCGGCCGCCATTGCTTGGATATTTTAAATTCTGGTGAGCTGAAACTGTGATAAATAAAAAGAATCCATAAGAGACTGAGGAGATAGTTGTAGAGATTGCTGAGAAGTAGCTGGCCTGCAATGCAGGCCTATATATTGGGGGCCAGTGAAAGCTGCTTTATAAAGTTTGCAATGCCGCAGCCGCCATCTTTCTTAAATATGCCTACTAAAGTCCATCATATCAATCATAATATATAAACAATCATGTAAAATAATATTCACTTTTCAGTATATTTATTATCAGGCCAAAGTCATGGCAGTGGGCTTTACTGGATTGATCCAAACGGTGGCTCGACAGCTGACTCATTCCAAGCGTTTTGCGACATGGAAACTGAGCGTGGAGGTTGGACCCTAGTTGCCGCAAAGGTCTCCCCAGGCTTCCTCTTCATCAAAACTGTTTTCTCGGCAGTGGCCGCTGCAACTAAGAAAGCAGATGCCGGGAGTCACATACACCCAAGCATGGGGGACTGGAAAGAGGTTATGTTCCGCTTTGCTGACGTTGATACCATCCGAGTCATTTACAACAGAAAGGCGGGCGCACCAAACAAAGACAAGGAGGAATTCGACAAGTTCTTGATGGGGAAGTCTATGAATTTGAGAAAGCCTGTGAATGGATTTTACAAGTACAGTCCAGCAGATAAGAAAAGAAATCCCAGCGTGGGTTTTGCCACCATATCCTCTTTCCACTTCTGGTCAAACCGTGGGTTCTCAGAAGATCACGGTGGCACGGATAAGTGGCTTGACATTTGGAGTACTGGTGATGGCTCAAACAACTACATCTACAGCGATGACAGCAGGGCGCAGGGCACCAAATGTATCGCGGGCTACTGTTATCTGAACAAGCCAATCTGGGTGATGGTGCGTTAGCAAATCCATCAAGCCAATACACGAGCAGCTAATTACGCGAGAAAGAACTAGATACTTAGGTGTTAACAGGCGATAATAAAGTAGGTTTTAAAACAGACTGCTGGCGATGTCAACGTTCTAACAATATTGTCAAGATTAAAACGACCTGATATTAATCCAGTTAAAAAGAATTCTCGCATCTTGTACTGACTGCTCATAAAATAAAAGTAAAACGGCATTGGCGATTTGGGTGTGTTGTTTATTGGTCGTTTGTTTGTTTGTTTGCTTTTTTCTCAGAACAACCCTTTTGTTGCTTGGGAAGGGGGAAATTGAGCAAGAGTTAGATTCAGTTCCACTCTAAGCCTGGTGCATGTGTTATGAGCAAAGTTTTTCGAAATAACCGACTCAGAAATAATTAAAGAACTACGAATAACGATTGAGTGCGTCAGATTAATGACAACTGTGTAGCCTTTTTACATATTCTTTTTTCGGTTTTTCAAAATAATTCAACGCCCGGACAGGAGAAGTATTTTTTCTAATATGCAAGAAGAAAAAGGACTTTTGATATTATCAAGTATGACATCGAATTTTATCACCATGTGGTACATACTCTTGAGTTGTAAGGACTGGATCAGAAAGTTGGAAAAGCTTACACTGGCTCTTTTTCAAGATCACAAAATTTATGTTAGCCGTCTACAGCTATAAAAGACGCGCTTCCTTGTGTCACTTGTGAATCTCTTTATATTCCTTTAACCTAACAAGAGACGAATCATTAAAGACAAAAGTATATGAACAATCACCGAAGAGGGCAAATTTCCAACAAGAGAGATAACGTTCTTCAATGCCTTTATAAAGTCGAGGTAATATTACGCAATCTGTCGTTAAGGCGGGAATATCGTAGCACCAAACACATCTTGATACGAACTGATTATAAACCAAAACGTTATCTTATCTTCTAGTTAGGTTGGAGCCATGTGAACAGAACTTTTGTAGTTTTATTGGTGGTCTGATCTCCCTGATCATTTTCTTTTGCTTTCCAACACTTGTTTTATAGAGATGTCCCAGATTTTCCCGATTATTAAGTTAACAATAAGAGTGAAAACTCGGATATAGAGTAGCATTCGTTTGTTACTCTAAATATACCCTCAAGTTGCTAATTGGGTAGAACTATATGAATTAAATAACCTATTAGAGTCAGTGGATGACTAAGATGATTTTTTAAATCATGATAATTGATGACATCTTTGCACTGCGATGGCTGACGGTTCACATGACTTTGGTGTCAATCAGACCAGATCTGACATGTATCAGATGCCAGCTTCTGCTGAGCAGGGTGAATAGATGTGGCGTAGAAATTTTTTTCACCATGTTCATATTATTATTATTATTATCGCGACATAAACTTGCAAAATAATGATTAGACTCTCTCACAGAGTCCTCTTTCAAGCTTAGGCCAGAATTTATCTTTTTTCTTTGACAGCACAATGACCATTTCCACCAAGCCCCAGAGCCCATGCATCTTGCTACTCACAAATGATAAGCGTGTATCAAGTTCTTCCACTATTCATCCCAAACATTGAAAGTTTTTAAGTACGATTATTAATTATTATATTATATTATTAATTTTATATTTTGATCACGTGTTTAGTCACGTGACAGATTTAGCACATACGGCAGAATAAGAACCTGAGATAAATAAACACCAAGAAGTTCGACATATTTTAGGCTACCCAGCAAAAGTGATTGCCGATGAATCATATTCTCGCACCGACTTTTTGGAGCCTGATTTTTTCTTCTTCTTATCTATTTTTTCCAGTTTTATATTTTTTCTTCCAAGATATCAAACCTAAGGCCGGTTCAGCTTTTGCCTCCGTTATCGATCCTCCCCGCTGCGGTGGGATCATGAAGAAAGCGAGCGCTTATTTTATGTAAACAACAACAGTCTTTTTCCTTTTCATTTACCCTGGCTTCAGCGATAATAGACGCGCTTACTTGTGAATCTCTTTATATTCCTTTAACCTAACAACAGACGAATCATTAATGACAAAACCATATGAACAATCACCAAAGAGGCCAAATTTCCAATAAGAGAGATTACGTTCTTCAATGCCTTTATAAAGTCGAGGTAATATTAAGTAATCTGTCGTTATCGCGGGAATATTGATAGCACTAAATACTTCTTGACACGAACTCATTACGCTCAGCTCTATGTGTCATTTAAATTAGGAAGTGATGATCTTCTCTCCTCAGCTAAATCTAGCATTGAAATATGTGTACAGTAAATCAACTATTGGATGAATCTTAATGGTCTTAAGCTAAATGAGGAAAAAACTGAGCTGCTTCTACTCAGTTCACGTCATCGGCTCAGTCCTTTATTGGAATTTGTTTGTGTCGAGGGTGAAACTATTCATCCGTCCTCTTCTGTTCGTAATCTTGGAGTGATACTGGATCCCAGTGCTGATATGGAAGACCACATTAAAAAGATTTGCAAGACATGTCATTTACATTTAACTAACATTAGTAAGATAAGAACATATTTGGATCGTGAATCTACTGAAGCAATTATTCATGGTTTTGTGACTACCAAGTTGGATTACTGTAATGCGATTCTCCGTATATGGACTACCTAAAGTTCTCTTGAACCGCCTACAGCTAGTTCAGAATAGAGCAGCGCGCATCGTAACATTCACAAAGATATATGAACACATAACACTCAGCTTAATAGACTTTATCAGTAAACATTTCAAAGATTTTTTAAAGAGTAAAAGTATTCCTTTGTATCACACTGAGAATGAAGAGAAATCAACTATTGTTGAGAGATGGAATAGAACAATGAAAAATAGAATGTGGAAAATGTTTAGTGCGAATAATAATACTGTTTACTGGGACTAACTTGATCAATTAGTTGATGATTATAATAACACAAAACATTCTAGTATAAAAATGACTCCAGCTAAAGCAAATAAAAAGAAAATGAGGCAAGACTTTATGCTAATTAATGGAGATTTAATTTACTTGAAACCTGAAAAACCAAGAGTTGCTATTGGCGACAAAGTTCGTATATCAAAGTATAAAAGACAAGTATTTAATAAAGGTTATACTCCTAAATGGACAGACGAGATTTTTGTGGTAGATAAAGTTTTGCCTACAAAACCTGTTACCCATAAAATTGTTGATTTGACGGGGGAGACGATTGAGGGAACTTTTTTCCGAGCAAGAGTTACACTGAAAAGGCAAAACAAGAAACCTTTAGAATCGAAAAAGTTCTGAGACAAGATAACAAGAAAAAATTAGCATTGGTAAAATGGGGCGAGTATCCTGATAAATTTAATTCTTGGGAGAGTTTTAGCACTTTGGTAAATTTTTTAATACAAATTATTTGTAATAAAAATGAGTTCACCATTTAATCTTCAATATCTGATGTATGAAGGTCTTTAATTTTACTATTATCTTCTGCTTCGCTTTCATATTCAAATGGGTCAACATTTTGTTGTCCCTTAGTTCTAAAAAGAACATATAAGTTTTGCACTAATAGAGGACTGGTGATGCTGATTCATCATTTTTTGTTTTTGTTTTCCCTTTTTTGTCAGTGTATTCCGGACTTGTTTATAATAGAGAGGACTTGATAAATGACTTGCCATATCTGGACCAAATTCTTCTTCCAGATATTGCTGAGTAGCTTCAGTTAAGTCATTTAGTGCATTAAAAAACATTGATTCCTCTACAGTTGGTTGTGATTCCTTGACCAAATACATACAGGTACGTGTAACCAACTAGCTGGCTAGTTTCTTGACTTAATCTTTCACTTAAACCAAAACTAAACAGAAATGGTGTCTCAATTAAAACAGGTCCTTTCTTTTTACTACCATACAGTTGGTTTCTATTTTTACTCTTTGGTATTTAAGTTTGGAGATTTTGACTTTGTACTCCTTTGGTCAGGGTTTTCATTTGAGGCCGGAGGCCGGACGTTTCGTCCGGTCGTTTGCCATCCCACGTCCGGTACTTTGAGATCAATATTGGCGTTTTTTTTTTACTACTCTATTATATATTACTACAACCCAAGTTACCAAACATCTTTTTTGAAAATCAAATAAATTCGCAATGATAAGCCAATGAAAATTCTGTTGTTGCCATTCTCCCTCCCCCTCCCCCTACCAACTGACCATTTTCATTCAGTAATTTACTTTTTAAAGAGAATTTTAGTGAGCGCCAGCATTGCCTAGGAAACTGTTTCCTTGGTTCCAGAAACGCTGGAAATGGCGTTTCTGAGTATTCTATTTTAAAAATTTCCTGGGGAAGCATGCCCCCAGACCCCCCTAGGTGCTTGCGCCTTCGGCGCTCGCGATACGGCGCCAAGAAAAAATTCACGTCCGGTGCTTTCAGAAGTATGTCCGCTACTTTACAAAACAGTTGAAAACCCTGTTTGGTAAGATAAATATCCGATCAATAGGCTTTTAAGGTTCTAGAACTTTATAAGTGTTTACCTTTAAAAATACAACATGTTGAATAACCAATTTACTAATAAGCTTTGTATGCACAAACATAAATATTAACAGTGTGGTTTTTGAGAGTTAGACATATTGTCTCCAAACTTCTCGGAAGATACTTATCTTTTAAATGAATATTTCGACCTTTTTAGTAATTAACTAAGGAAGCATAAGTTTTGTGGCTCGTTTTTGTTGAAAGATACATCCTATGCATTATTATATATGTAAACCTATTATCAATGACCATCAAACAAATAACTAGCGAGCTGCTAAGGAACAGGTTTCGGTTTTGTTTGTTGTTAGGGTAACCTGGAATGTATTCTTTTGTTTTACATGTGAGATAAATCATTGTTTGTAAACCGCAATCACATGCTGTATTTTTCCAGATTATCAAAATCTAATAATAGTCAGTTTTGCTGGAAAAACTCCCCTTTTCTAGAACATTCTCTAAATCATTAAATATTCAACATAGTCAAAACAAAACGGCAGGTGTTTGAAATGTAATGTACGTGATTTTATATTTTAAGTAGTTTATAATAATATGATTTCTCCCTCAATTTTTTACATACTATTTTCCGATTATCCCGATTTTTATATATTAGTCAGATTTATAATTATTTTACTTTAATAATGGGACTCATCATTCAGTACTGGTTGAAACCGTTTGAAAACAGCGACTGCTAAAATTAAGATTCGTTGATCAGTACTAATTACATGAAAGAGATTAAACAGGTAAAATTGTCATGACAGCTCACGGAAAATGACAGGGATAATCGGAAAATAATAAAAAAAAGTTGAGGGGGAAAACATATTATTATTATAACTAAACTCCTTTCATTTACCCTGGCTTAAGCGTATATTTTTCGAGGCAAATTAGAGTAGATTGCGAGAAGAAGGTTGAGCGCCTTATACTATTTAGTTTGTTAAGTAAACACTGTAAATTTTCCAACTCGCTCCTCACGTCGCTGATTGCATCGAATAACACTGTGCAGTGTTAACTATTTTTATTTTCTTTTGGAAAAGTCTGTTAAAATTAAATCTCTAAGTACAGTACTTCTAGTAAAGGAATGTTACCCTCCATGCTGACTATTCAACTTTTATAAAAACGGCTCTTGGTGGACAAGGACAGTACATGATAGGGGCATGACAGCTAAACCAATGTTTGTATCAAAACTATCATACGTAATAAAATATTAAAATTTTGATAGTCTCGCCGTTTTTTCATGTTAAGAAAATAAAGGAAACATCTTTCCCACCATTGTGAAACTCGCCATTTCCAACTGAAAACAAAAGGAGCATTGAAAGAAGAGTGAGCTCAAAATGTTACGCTTGTTTATTTCCTTGTTTCTTGTTCTGATCTTGCGTTCCTTCGCAAGCCAGGAAAACTCTGTAGGCAATGTGAGTTTGGTGTTTTTTTAGTTTGTTCCTTGAAAGAATTAATTTTGTCTGATATAAAAGTAAGATCAAAAGAATATGTGCTACTTTAACTAATAGAATTCAATACTAATACCTCGCGGATTTCCTCTTGTTTAGCTAGCAAATCAAACCCATTACTGCAACTGTCTCGACGGTAAGCTAAAGACTATGAATAAATCCTGATTCTTATGTGTTTATGTCCTGGTTTATGTTGTTTGTAGTTTAATTTCTCATTTGTTCCCTAGGAAGGGACGGACGAGATGGTCTCAACGGTAAGAAAAGACATCGCACAGTAATATAACCATGCATGTTTTCATTAACTGACACAATGCCAAGCAGTTACGAATTCTATTAAGTAGTAAAATACTTTCTGAACCGATCAGCCTTCCAATTTAGTATCTATACGTATATATCTGTCACACCTTCTGCCCATAAATGGAATAGTAGATTGCTAGCAGGAAATACTGCCATAGGAACTTAAATTAGCCATATAGTTAGGTCCCATTAAACAACTGGGCGAATTCATGTGAAAAAAAATTGAGACTGAGTTCTGACTGTTGAAAATGGAAAAGTGAACCTTGTTAAAAATAAGATCACGTAGTCAGAGCTGGGACTTTTTAATTTTGATTATGTAGAAAAGTAAATGAAGTATTAAGCAAGAGATAAATATCACTTACGTGGCATTCAAAATTGTTGTCTTCCGCTTTCTTTTGCGTGAGTTCTTCTCATCCTCTTTTTTAATCATCACCATTAAATAATTCTATGTTTTTACACCCAAGGAAAGAATGGTCGTGATGAAAGAGACGGGATCAACGGAAACGACCTCCTAAAGGTAAAAATATTATAAAGGAAAAAAGTTTTTTCTGCTATTATCAAATAGATTATTTCTCGGATCAAAGATGAATAAGACAGACGAGGAGTTTTAAGAACACTGGACAAGAGGCTAAGATTATTCAAGTTCCCTGCTATGCGCGATTTCAGCTGCTTAAGAAACATTCTCTAAAAAACCCGTTTGCTTAACTCCAGAGTCGATTTTCTGTGATACCAGGGAGTGACACAGTGCCACCTTAGTCTGTTCTAAAAATTAGTTACATAAGATAAAACTGAAATTCCGTTTAAAATCCGACGAAATGTCAGCGGTAAAGGTCAGTCTTAAGTAAAAGGAATACAGAGAAGGAGATCTGAGTCTTAAGGTTTCCTCAAGCGTGGAAGGGTTTTAAGAATAGTTAAGGACTTGTTTGTTTTTCAGGGTCAAAAAGGAGAACGTGGCTCACCAGGCAACAACGCAAGAGGGGTAGTTAAGATTAGCGATACCGCTGAGAAATGTACCGCAAGCATCGCCGGCAGTGTTAGTTACAATACTTCTCAGAAATCCTTGCAACTCTGTGATGGAAGCCATTGGCCGCCAGTGCTCACTGTTGGAAAAGGTTACACGAAGGATAGACCCGGTCGTGATTGTTTGGATATTTTAAATTCTCGTGAGCTTGAATTGTGATAAATAAAAAGAACCCATAAGAGACTGAGGAAAGTAATAATGGTTGTAGAGAACGCTGGGAAGTAGCTGGCCTGCAATACAGGGGTACAATTATTGGGGGCGAGTGAAAGCTGCCATATAAAAGCTTGTAATGCCGTGGCCGCCGTCTTTGATTCTATTACAGAGGAAGATTGTGGAGAGTAGAAATAAAAACCTTTAGGGCAGACGTAAGGGTGAAAGAAAAAGGTGGGGAAGGGGAGGGGAAGAAAAGCATGGACTAGGGTATTTGGAAGGAAACTATCATCCAAAGACGTATTTCTTAAATAAGCCTGCTAGATTTCATCTTATTAATTATAACTATATAAAGAATCATGTAAAATAATATTCATTTTACAATTTATTTACGATCAGGCCAAAGTCATGGCAGCGGCTTTTACTGGATTGATCCAAACGGTGGCTCGACAAAAGACTCGTTCCAAGCCTTTTGCGACATGGAAACTGAACGTGGAGGTTGGACCCTAGTTGCCACAAAGGTCTCCCCAGGCTTCCGCTTCATCAAAACTGTTTTCTCGGCAGTGGCCACTGCAACTAAGAACGCAGATGCCGCGAGTCACATACACCCAAGTATGGAGAACTGGAAAGAGGTTATGTTCCGCTTTGCTGACGTTGATACCATCCGAGTCATTTACAACAGAAAAGCGGGCGCACCAAACAAAGACAAGGAGGAATTCGACAAGTTCTTGATGGGGAAGTCTGTTACTTTGGTAAAGAACGTGACTGGATTTTACAAGTACAGTCCAGCAGATAACGAAAGAAATCCTAGCGTGGGTTTTGCTGCCATATCCTATTTCCACTTCTGGTCAAACACTGGGATCTCAGAACATCACGGTGGCACGGATAAGTGGCTTGACATGTGGAATACTGGAGAGGACTCAAACAACTACATCTACAGCGATGACAGCAGGGCGCGGGGCACCAAATGTATCGCCGGCTACTGTTATCTGAACAAGCCAATCTGGGTGATGGTGCGCTAGTAAAACCACCGAGCCAGTACACGATAAGCTGGGTACGCCAGAAAGAAAAAGTAATAAAGTAGATTTGAAAACAGCCGGAGTGTGTTGTCAAGATTAAAACGACCTGATGATTCGTTCAGTTTAAAGAATACGCGCATCTTGTACTGACTGCTCATAAAATGAAACTAAAAAAGGGGTGGCGATTTGGTTGTGTTGTTTATTTGCCAATTGTCTGTTTGTATTTTCAAAAAAATACTTTTGTTGCTTGTTTAAGGGTGAAATAAGCAAGGACTAGATTCTAGTCTGCGTAACAAGCGTTTCAGTTTGGTTACGGATTAAAAAAAGACCGAGGAACGGAATTTTTGGTTTTGGCCGCGCGAGAAATAGAACGAGAGCCAAAAAATGAAGAAGAATCCTTTCTTTTCTTCTCCATCCCCTTCCTACTCTCTTACTAGCGCCATTTTTCGCGCGGTCTTTCCGTTCCTCGTTCTTTGCTTCCAAACCACACGAAAACCCTTGTTACGCAGGCTAACTAGATTCAGTTTCGCCTTATCTATCCGCGATGTTATTCACTTCAGAAATATTCTCAAAAATGCTGAACTGAGATTATTGAAGGTTCCTACAATTTACGATGCTGACTGCCTCAATTAATGACAAATTTGTTTTTTTTTTTTGCCCTCAAAAGAGAGTAGCCTCGGTTGTTCATATTTCTTTTCCAGTGTTTCAAAATAACTCGACACTGGAAAAGTTTATTTCTAATATTCAAGACGAAAAAGCAGTTTTAAATCCACCAGACATAACTTCATCGCATTGTACCACCATGTGTTACATACTAGTAAGTTATGGCAGATTGAATCAGAAAGTCGGCAAAGCTTATCCTATATGTTAATCTCATTTTAGTTCAAGATCATTGCATGAAGCGATTTGTTTAAAGTGCTGGTTTATGACCGATAAAGGGAGATGGGCTTGTTTGTAGTCTTTTTATATCCCTCCAACCACACAAGATACGAATGGTTAAAAAAAACTTGGTATAAGCAGGATAACCGAAAATGCTGGTAAGAGGGATAATGTTCTTCGATCCTTCAGTTTGAAATTCGAAGTAATCGTCGAGGATCCGTTGTGGTGGGGCTAACATTGGTAGCAAACTCGTCTTGACACAAAATGCTCATTGTCCAACAACCTTATCTGATCGTCTATATAGGAGTTGTCTCCGTGGCAGTAAACAAAACCTTTGAAAAAGTGGGAGTTTTATAAGTCCAATTCCCTTGATCATAACTCCATTGATATGATAACTAGCACTTCTTCATGTTTAAAAGTTGGGCCAGGTTAACATGCTCAGAATGGCTTTTTTGACAATAATGAGTTTTCCAATAAGAATGAACGCTTGGAGAAAGCGGCATGAGTTCTTAATTAAGGGGAATGGAAAAATAAATGCTT